AATCAGTTCTAAGTTGCGTAATTACGTGTCGAATGCAGTTGGTTTCACGTCGATATCATTTTTTGTTCTCGAGATAATCGAGGCAAAAAATAATTCCGAATGCACATACGTAGAGATGTATCTAAATTCGGGATTCGCGAAATCGGACCCATTACTATAACTTCCCACTGGGATGTTAATAGAATAATTAGTGATTTTTCATCTGAATGATGAGATCGCCATCTTGGAATTAAAGCGTGGCAAGTCAATTCATGATATGTTCATTTTTCTTTTTAATTTATTTAATAAAAATATCAATTCTATACAAAAAATTGTTGTTTACGTCGGTCCGGCATTAATGCCTCTGTAATTTGGTACCTAATTTTATAAAAATAATTGTAAATTGGCAAAGAAATCAGGAATATTCCAATCTCATGTATTTGGATAGAGGGAATCAGTCGCTTCTCTGGCTTCAGCCCAGCCTTAAGGACACTAAAAGAATTAATACAAGTTCTGCCATCTATTATGTTTTTTTGATACTATTTGAGATCCGCCAGAAACAGATTTCGTTCGATATCTGTAAAAGAACGACGCCACGTCGACTGAATTTGTTATAAATAATCAAAGACAAAATCTATGCAATCAATTCAAATTCTTCCAACGTGGTTTTTTTTTTCTTTTTTTAACTGATAAAAAGTTATCATTCATGAGAATAAATGTGATCGAAAATGTTATTAATTATAATTGTAATTGCTCTTAATGAGCATATATCGAATCTTACATTAAAATTTGAATTTTTACTGTTTCCATTTATACACTAAAATTTATTACTATTTTTCTCACAATCATGCTCCATCAATTATTTACAATGAATAAGAAATTTTATTAATTGGTTGAAAAATGAATGGTTCTCAATTTCCGTCCATTAATTCTTCTAAATCATTACTGTTTATACCAGTTAACCAGCATTCACGCGGACAAATTTGTGAGAATAGATAGACAAGAACTAATCCATCCTATATCTTTTGTCGGACTCAATTTCTTTACCCTGATGCACTGCAAATTCCAAGATTCCACAAACGTGTTAAAATAACACATATAAAGCGTATTCAATGTTGAATGTCCATAAACAAACTATACATTATTTGTCGACACTTTTTACACATTTCATAGTGTGTGAAGAATCTATAGTTTTTTTACAGCATTTAACATTGAAGAGGCTTAGCGCAAAATTGTTTTTATCGATTGTTTAGTAAAAAAATCACATAAGTGTGCGCAAGAAATTGTAGATCGAATGTTCGATCAAAATATTAAAAAACATTTAATAGCATAAATCTTACGTCCCAAATGACTCTGCAAATAACCAAATCCTTATTTTTTAAAAATTATTTTAAGCAAAAAATTTTGAAACATCAAAAAAGTTTGAAATCAAATGGAGTGCTATGTCATCTATAAAATTGAGTAGAAGAATCTATAGTTTTTTTACGGCATTTAACATTAGAGAGGCTTAGCGCAAAATTGTTTTTATCGATTGTTTAGTAAAAAAATCACATAATTATCACATTAATATTGGTATTCTATTATAACTAAGTATCTGGAAATACATTCAGACATTACATCATATTTTTTAGATGAAGAATGCATACATTTGTAACTTGACCCTTAAAATAAGGGTAGAAATAATGAAAAATATGCTTTCTATTATTTTGCAGAAGAAAAATTGAATTTTTTAAAAAGTGAAATAGCTATTTTTGAGAAAAGAAACAATTAGCTCTTACATTGGCATTGAAATGTTCTCTCATATACAAAAGGTATAAGGGCGCGATCTTGACATGATAAAACAAAGTTTATTGAGAATAACAAAATAAATTCGGAAACGAGGTTTTTTAGAAAATTTTCGTTCAGAAAGCGACTCTGAATATCCTTCAATTTTTTTATTCAACAAAAACGCTTAACCTATGACTGTATGTCTAATTAATCACTGATTGTTTGTGAGTTGTCCATTAATTGTTGATAAAATGCGCTAAATTAATTATCTGAACATAATAATAAATTGTCTCAAAAGTAATTTACAACAAGAATCGAACACAGCATGTAGCGACAGACACACAATACAGTGGAGTTGTTCAGGTGTGTGCTATACGTGTGACTGTCCATGAGGCACTACGGCGTCGATGCCAGCTCAGCTTCGCGCCCAAAAACACTACAACTGATTTATCTAAACTAAAAAATGTGAGCTTACTGCCCAAATATGCGATTTGACTGCATGACGTTTTACAGAGTTGAGCGCGTGATTTGCCTGAAGCTAACTGACGCCACAACCCAAGTAGAATTTATTTTTGAGAAAGAGTTCGCACCTAATTCAAATTTCCTAAATTCAAGTCAGCCACCCAATGGGATACCATATTAGGCCTACATTGGGAATGTAACGCTTGTCCCTATTAGGACCGAGTGAAGAAAGCTTAATTGAGGCATGTTAAATATAAAAACTAAGTTTTGTTTGATTATCTCATTTTCTGTGATTTTATATTGTTGAAATACTAATTATCAAACGTATTTTAATTAAATTTCCGAGAAAACATATATGATTAAATGTGTTCCTTGGTGGATTTGAACCTACGATTGCTACCTTGCACAGATCTGAGACCAATGCCGTTACCCACTCGGCTATTCAATCAATTAAAAAACTCTTACTATTGTATTAATATGAAGGAATCTACATGTATAATTTTTTAAAAGATTTATGTAAATCATTCATTTTGAATCTTCATAATAAATAATGTTAGTGGTTTAAATATTTTCATACCTCTAAATTAGTATTCTGTCTACAACTACAATATATTTTCAGTCAACATAATTCAGTTAAGGTTTAATAAAAACAATGAACTATTGTTTAAAGAAAAAGGATACCCGAAAGTTTTTTTATTATTACAATACTTTGTTTTTGGAATTTAAAAAAAATACTTAATTTAATGTAAATCTTTTATATTGTGAAAAATTAATTTTGAATTCATCCTTACAACGTTTTCATTCGTTTTTCAAACATTTGAATGAGGATAATGTAATATGTGCCTAATGTAGATGTAATTTTTGTTAGCCTAATGCGAACCTGATAAACATTTTCTAATGAATGACGAACTGAGATATCGTTTCAGTTAAATTTTTAAGGTTGTAATTGGGAAGTTATTGGGTAGTGCGAAATTGGCAAATTTTATTTCATCCTAAAAATAAATTTATCAAGCATAGGTTGGGAATGCCTAATTTACGCTAACCCATTTAATTCCCAATAAGGGTCCGGTAGGTATTTGGGCATGCCTAAAATAACTTCTACTCGGGAAGTGATCGACCGCGTGCTTGTTGTCGTCACTAGGACCGTAACGTTGTCTGCTGGGCCATGAGGGAAATGATTTTCGATGATTAGTCCAGTGAGTTGACTGACGCACCGGTGGACCAGTCCAGCATTACACAATTTTTAAATATTTTTAGACTCGCTGACTTGGGGCCCTCAAGTCAGAACAAATGGGTTAGCGTAAATTAGGCATTCCCCTTGCCTAATTGATTGGTCCTAGTTCGTTATTTATTAGGGAATGTTTATCAGGTTCGCATTAGGCTAACAAAAATTACATCTAAATTAGGCACATATTACATTAGCCTCATTGAAATGTTTGAAGAACGAATCAAAAAGTTATAAGGATGAATTTAATTACGATTAATTTGTTACAATATAAAAGATCTACATTGCACTAAGTATTTTTTCAAACTCCAATCTCAAGGTATTGAATTGATATAAGTATTTTCAGTTATTCTTTATCTTTCAATATGAGTTAATTGTTTTTTTAAACCTTTTTTTTGTGGAAGAAGGTGTCTTAGAATCTCCCGCCTTCCCCTACACTGAGCCACGGGGTCATTGTACAGGGTCTGTTTGCAAAGTAAAGGCGATCGTCTTATGTCTTAGGCCTGCAGGTTCCCTTGGTTCCCAAGTTGCCTTGGTTCCCTTCTGAGCCCCGAAACAGCCCCTGTCGATTTCCAATATAGTGGGATGCAAAAACGTTAATTTTGCCTTCGGATATTCCGCTAAGCCCCATGAGTCCCCCGGTTCCCTCAGCCTTAGGTAGGCAAGATCTATAGGCCTGGTGGTGTCAACCTTAAGAAGTCGTCCCAGTTCCACAAGAAATCGTCCTGCCTTAACTAAACCGAAAACACTAAACAGAAAATGAGCATAAATTATCTTTTACATAGAATTGCGATGGTGTCTCATTGTTCAAGTCATCAAGATTCTAGATTTGGCTTTTTTATCTAACTGTCAACGAATTACTATAATTTGAAAGATTTAAAAAAGGAAATTTGCTATTAGCAGGCCTGTCGTTCGGTCAAAAAAAAACATTACCGCCTTAATTCTCAAGATCGATTTCTATTGAATTAGTAAAGCTTAAAGATAAGATAAATATTTTATTTATTGATAACCAATTGATTCATGAATGACAGTCAACCGGTTGAAAATAAGTCTCAGTGAGTTTATTAAGTTTCTTCTATTGAGTTTTGTTATTAGTAAACAGTAAAAGAAATGCATTTCCTTTACCGGAAAAGTAAGAAAAGATCAGATAATCATGATACATAGATAAAAACAAATTTTCTTTGTTTTATGTATTGAATTTGTGACGAACAATTTAAAATAGGATCTATGAAATAGTATCGAGTTCCTAAAAAGATAAATTTTTCCTCCACTAAAAGCGTTGTTACTTACCGGACAGCATGAACTAAAACTGTCTCTTTGATAATAATTGTATTTGCTATAGACAATTAAAAACGCAATCTATGCAATCAATTTGAATTCTTGCCGGTGATTATCAAATCAACCCCTAAAAATTTAGCTACTTCATCGACAATAAGTATCCTGACTATATTCGATTATAAATTTCATATTTTATTAAACAATTCATTTATATCTCGATCCTTTTTTATGTATAATTATATAATATTACACTTAGAATCATATTTGAATTACATTTAATATTTTTCAGGGATGGTCGTTTAGTAGAGGGAGATCAGATACTAGCTATTGATGGACAACCATTAGATTCAAATATATCTCATGAACAAGCAATATCTATTCTTCAACAAGCACGTGGAGTTGTTGAAATTGTTATTGCACGGAATAATCAAGGTAATTTTTTTTATCTGCAATGGTTTCATGATACACGTCATGACTATTTCTAAATATGCAAAACTGGTTATATACGAATTCTTAATCAATTTTCTGAAAATATCTAATAGATGTCTCAAACAATAACATTACAAGTCAAAATAATGACGTAAATGTTTTTTTCTAGCAAAAATAAAAATGTTAAAAACTTGCCCTAGTCAAAATTTTTATAATAACTTTATATTGAATATACTGAATTCATATAGAATCCATATTGAGTACTCTAAAACAATACTAATTTTATATTGAATGTATTAATTTTTTAATTTCTATGCTGATTCTATATTGAACATCTTGAAATCATTATTATTTTGTACTGTCTATTCGGCCATCAATATGTTCAGTATAAAATTCGAATAAATTTTAAAAATCAGTATTCTAAATTTTCATTGAATGCTCGGAAATCTTTCTATCATTCTATTGAATCTACTGATACGTTCTCTATTACACTGATTTTGTACTAATTTTTCTGACATCAATATAATCAATGTAAAATCAGTATCATTTAAACGAGTATTCTAAATTTCTATTGAACGTTCTGAAATTATTCTTAAATGACATTGAACCTATTGAAATATTTTTTATTTTACTGATTATTATTCTGACATCAATATAATCAGTATAGAATCAGAACATTGTTGGAATGAGTATTCTAAATTTTTATTGAACGTTCGGAAAGTATTCTAGAATATAATTTTATATTATAGTTAAATTGCAAAATATTTATAAATTTTTCGTTGTACTGTTAATTCCAATATGAGTTTATTCGATATAGAATAAGAATGAGGATAAGAAGAAGAATAAAGTTTGTAATGTTACCGATTAAATTTATTTATTGATTTATTCTAAAATTATTTTTTAGGAGTAATAATATAATTGTGGTTACATAAAATAATTATTCAATTTCTTTCGTGTTTACTGGACATATTAAATACTTTTCATCGTTTACATTAATGTAAATACATGGTGAGATTAAGTTATTGATTGCAATTGCCTTAATAAAAGATATCTCTTCACATTTATGAATAAATCCTGAAGTAGTATAAGTATAATAATAGCCTTGTGCACTAAACACTCCTACACTTCGCACTTCGCGAATAATTGCCAAATATTCATATTCACATATACAATTATCCCTTTCGCATTGACAATGAACATATTTAATAAAACAGTTTATAAACCCATTTTATATATGTTTGAGTCTATGTACTTTACAGCACAGCTATTCGTTTCTAACGATCTCTTGTAGATTTCTGACGTATATAATTTATTGTTATGTAAACAACGTGCAAATTGAAAAACATGTACATTGTTAACAGACATTTGACTATTTTTCAGCGCTTGAATGATAATGTCTGGGATTTTATCAAGTAATATATAGTTCCCAACAGTATGTATACTTTCACTAATATCTTGTGTAATTTTAACTTGTTTTTTTTCTTTCTAAACAGAACTCTTTTACATTTTCATTCTTGATTTTTTCAACATCTCTTCTCATTTTTATCAATTGATGATGACTTTCAGCAATTTGCGAATAAATATCTCCTGTCCCATGAATAAGATTCAAAATTTCTCCGTTTATACTTTCATACTTATAACACGTATAACTCCAAAGAGGTCCATGCTCTTTTACACAATGAGCTAAATGTATAAGTAAATGAAAGTTGATTGTCAGATGTCTAAGTCCATATAATTGTTGGAATTCTTTGAGAAATCGGTTTAGCAGATCCTCTGCAACATCGATCATTACCTTAGTAATCTCTTCAGAACTTAATATAGAAATTGCAACAACTAATAATGTGAAATGTTGAAAATATTGAGCATCCATTATTCCTTCTAATATTGGTAAAGAATAGTAGAATAAAAAATGTTTCAATTCTGATGCCTTCCAATGTATTGAATCATTAATTTTCCTAGGCATTCTATGAATAAATTTAGTTGCTTTTATTAATATTTTCTTCATAACTCCACCATCGACTGCATGCATACGATCAGTATTCGTACCCTAGATAAAGTCTGGCATTAATCTTGACAAGGCAGTATGTCCTTTAACTCCTAATTGAGCATTATTTGGTGTTGCCTCTGTTGCAAGGTCAACGCATTTATCTAATGTTCTTAGTTCATACACATTTGTATGAGGGTATACTTGAAGATGAGATCTAGGTCCAATTTGTATGACACTGCCGCTATAAAAACATACTGGACATCCATATTGTCCATTAAATTGCTTGAAGTTCAAGCACTCACTCTTAGCTGGTAAGTCGCAAACTCCCATAAGCGAAATACCTTTTACTGTAATTGTGCTTTGGTTAGGGAGAAAGATTTTAATTCTTTTCGTTAATTTGTTAAATGTTGGTTGAAAACTATTCATAAAAAGATTAAAATCAGGTTTTTTTTGGCCATACCACAATCCTAATATTAACGTATTATGTCTCTTCTTTCTATCTTCAAATGGTAGTTCATTAATCGTGAGGTAAATTGGCCAAATACCCTTATTTGATGATGAAAACACCGGAACACCGTCAGTATACCAAGTAAATGAAATATTATTAGACTTATCTGATAAATAACCACTATTTATCCACTCTTGATATAATTTTCCATCATAAATATCATATATTGTATCTATTTCATTTGATCGTCCAAATCTTTTTTGCAATAAATCGAAGAAATCTTTCCGTTGATACATCATTTGTAGTTGACTGATAATTGGCATTTCTATAAAATCTGAAACTTCACTACCGGGACATGTTGGACACATATGATATTCTGACTCTAACTTATCCATACAAGATGAGCAGTAATAATGTTTCTGATAGTTATCTTCTCCAAAATTGAAAAATTTTTGAAACTTAAATAGGCTGTTTTTAATTAGTCCTATACTAGGGCAATGTAATTCAATCAAGCTGATGACATCAGAAATGCAAGACTTCGTCAAATGGTGTTTCAAGCATAAAGCTAATATGGCTAACATACTTTCTTCGACTGTTATGTCAGCGCCCATGTATAATGGAGTACTCCTATAACTATTGTCGTTCTCAACATTTGGTATGTCATCTTCATCACCTTGATTGTCTTCTTCAGTTACAACAAATATGGAATTTTCTTCTGGATCATTCACTTCGTTTGTAAATATTTCATTAGCTTCTAGTACTTCTCCTATAAGCCTGAAAAACGTGAATTCTTAATAATTTGTGGATGCAAAATACCAATATGTATAAAGTTGATTGTCTTACATGTTTCCTTCTCCAATATTATCATCATTATCCATTATCATAGCATATATTTCTTCAATATTTCCGACTTCTACTGGTTCTAGGTTTTGATCACTACTATTACAAAAATAAATATATGATAAAATGAATGATATTGTTATTTCTAAAAATTTATAAAAAATATTGATCTATATTTAAACAATAAATACTTACATTGACATTCCTTCCGATAATTCTGATACTACTCTTGATGGAGGATTGTTTTCATTCGTAAGGTTAACATTATCTTCAGAAACACTATTATTAATAATAGAATTTAATCGGTCACGAAAATGTCGTGATCCAAGTTCTCTCAAAGCCTTTCGTGACATATTTAAAATTGAAAATAATTTTTATTTTATGAAGTTTAAAGTAAATATAAATATAATTTATATTCTTACTTTTGTGCTAACGTTTTCGCAATGTTCACGTAACAAGGTTATGAAAAATATTTACAATAACATCCCTTCAGGTACTTCTACCTCAATTCAAATTTTAAAACGACTTTAGCGCCAGTGTTTACTGCAGTAACTATACTGAGAAACTGGCATTCGATCAACGTGTTTGAACAGGATTTTTCATTGGAATAGACTTCCAAGTGTGGCTTAAATATTTCAATTAATCAATAAATATCAACCTTAAAACTATTATTTAATTGGGTAATTTTTTTTATAATTGTGCAGTGCTTATAATATGATTAAAAATTAAAAGAAGAAATTATATTAAACATGCCACAAAGAAAACGTAAGTATGTTTTGCTTTGGAACAATAAAAGCAAACAAAATTCTGTTGAGTTATTATCACGAATTCCTCGAAAATACCAAAAATTATAACAAATATTTTTAGTTGACAATGTTAGTTACAAATTATTAGAGATAAGTGGTAAGTATACTTAATTATCCTAAAACTGATATAAATGTAACGTAAATAAATAACGTAAATGTAACGTATATAAATGTAAATTCTTGGATTGAATTACATATATTGTCTAGTTTGTTTAATGTATTGTAATCACATGCATTGCATGAACAATTTCATTTCAGAGGATCGAGATGCACATAAGAAAAAAAAAGACGACTTGAATGCTACTAATACAGTTAGTGAAATCATTTCAACACCTCAAGATGACAATAAAGAACAAAAATCGACGAAGCAAATAATTTGTGAAAAACAAAAAAAAAGAAGTGACGAAATTGGATCAGCTCCTCGTCTGTTCAAAAAACAAAAGATTGAAAATAGTTCGAAATTATCAGAACCATCTGCATCATTGAAATCAACATGCATTAACTCCATCAATAGTCCCCAGTCCGTGAATGCATCCATTCCTTCAACCAAAACCATCAATGATGATGACAGTTATAAAATAGCAGATTTGTCAAATTCTGAGAAAATCAAAATAATATCACACGTACCCTTTCCAGCTGTTGGTGCTTCTAATTATCGAGTTGTATTAGCTCGTGGTCCAAATCAAATTGAAGCTAATCAGCAAAATATGAATACAAATGTTCAAAAGGATATGGACTGTGAATCCAGTGATTATCAGCCTCAAATGATCATAGATGCTCATAGTCACATTCAAAGTGAAGTCGATAATTGTCAGCTAACCGAAGATACTTTAGATCAGATGGATGGTGGATTTAGTGATAATCAACATCAAATGCCTCAAGATGTTTCAGGCCATACAGATAATGAAGCTAATGATTATCA